CTAGTTTAGGGCCATAAATAGTTTATGCAGTAGCCTCTCCTTTCCTGGTTGGTTCCCATTCCCTGATTACCTTTGAATAGTATGTTTTAGGAGCACTGGGTAAAATTTATTTAGTAACCCAAATCTCTTTTGATGAATGGAGTGATTAGTTAATACTTTAATATAAATTTATATTCCCTTTGGTTCATTTTCTTTTTCAATCTTTCATTGCTTAGTGGAAAAATTTTATTTCCACTTCAGTGGATTTCCAGTATTAAGTAGAAAAAGATAATAGGTACTCCTGAAATCCTTCGGTAGAGCACACAATTCTGTGCTCATTTAAAATTGATCCTGGCTGCAACCAGTAACAAATATTCCACACTGCAGTCTTGTCTTGCAGTGTGGAATATTTGAAACCTTATAACAGCAGTTTAGTATTATACAAAAGTTAAACCTAGTGTTATCTAATTAAAAATAATCAAATTATCAGAAGTTTGAAGAAATTTCTGAGACATATTATTAGAAATAAAAAAGTTACGTGAAGAAAATAATGTGTCCTTCAGAGTTTGTGAAAATGTTTGAGGAAATCAGAATATGAGGGAATAACCAAGGAAACTATGACATTTTGAAAACAAAATGTAAAAATTTCAAACATGTACAAAGTAGAGGGAATAGTGTGATGAATCAGGATGAACTTACACCCCACTTCTGGAATTATTAACTAATGGCCCATCTTGTTTTATTTATATTCCTAGCCCTCCCTTCTTTCTCCTAAGATTATTTTGAATTAAATTTCATATCATCATGTAATTTCATATGTAAGTATTTTGGTATGAAATATTTTTTAAAAATAGGTTTAAGAATACTGAATTAACTGCAAGCTGCAACAAGCTTTCACTAGAGAACAAAGAACTAACACAAGAAACAAGTAATATGGCCCTAGAAATCAAGAAACAGCAAGAAGATATTAATGTGAGTTGAAAAAGGAAGTACTGGTAACTTGGTTTTCTTACCTGTAAAATTAGGGGGCTTTTAGATAGATGACCTCTGAAGATTCTTTCAGATTAAAAAAATAGGATTATTTTAGAGCTGATACTTTGTTTCAGAATAAAAATGTGTTTATTAATCTGAGATGGTGATAATGGGCCACAGAATGTAGAGGCTACTTATAGATAAGGTTAATATAATTTTAAGCTTAAGATTTTTATATTTAGTCAATAAGTATTATTAAGTCATAGATGACTCTGAAGGATACTATGATGAATAAAATAGCATTTCAAGAGTTTATGGCAATAGAAAAATAGTAAATATTTAAATAACTTAAAATAGCATAGTACATCATTTATGTTGTTAGTGGTTCAAAGTGTTCTCAGATTTACACCATCACTTCTGCCTTGGTGACCTTAAAAGATGAATTCTGAGTACAGTAAGTGACAACAGATTACATTTCTTCAGACCAGAACAATATGAACAAATGATATGAGGCTCAAAGTATCATTGGGAAATAAAAGTTTTGTTAACTATGATATAGAGATTGTTAGGAAAATAATTAGTATAAGCCTGGAAAAGTAGTATGGAACTGTGCAAATTAAGTAGCCTGTTTTCTTGCTTTATGTATGAATAAGTTTTATAGTTACAGATAAATGTTTTAAATATTAATTTCAGTTTTAGTTTTGTTGAAACAAAATAATATAAACAATGTTTATCTCTTTAGAGTAGCAAAAAGCAACAAGAAAGGATACTGAAACAAGTAGAAAATCTGGAAGAAACAGAAACACAATTAAGGCAAGACTAATGAATTGACCTTGTTTATCTGGCAATAGATTTTGATATTTTCTGTTAACTTGTTATGGTTAATTTAAATTTAACTTTTGTTGAATATTATATAAAATACAAAATTTAGACTAATTACTGTTTTGGAATCTTGCTTAAAAATAAAATTGTAATTTCTCCTTTATATTTAGTGTTGAAACAGTAAAATTAGATGAAGGTCAATTTTAAAGCATCATAAACCTTCTAATTCTTTAATATTTACTTAAGAAAGTATACTAATCATAATACAGAGAATTTATATGAAAGAAATTTTAAAAGTTATTTATAACCACATCAGCTATTATAATATAGGAATATTTATGCCCACTCTATATTAAAGAATGGTCTTTGCTTGTAATCATTGATATACAATTTTATTTGTGGTTCTTCCATTTAATATTATTCATGTTTCTAGGTGTTTTCACAATCATCTATTTTTAATACACCAGTTAATCAAGTAGATTAATAATATTATTTAGCTTTTTTTATTTTAGAAAGGCAAACTTATAATTCCTGGTACACATTTTATTAGTTTTTGTTTAATGACTAGAAATCCTTCTGTCTTCAGAAAATATTACATATTCATTGAAACACTACCTATCTTATTATATATCTACATCATATTTATTAGATAAGAATTCCAATTACTTTTATGTAATAAAAGTAAAAAGGAATTTTGTATGTTGGCTATGTTTCACTTTATACATTATTTTTAGGCCTTTATAGAATATAAAACTTAGAAAAACATTCTCAACTAATATTCTTATTCGATGTAAATGACTCAAACTACAAACAATACTAAGCTAAGCACTGTTATTACTTTTAAAATCTGTTTCTAGAAGTTTTATTTTTCAATCAATACAAAATGATCTAGTTCACACTATTAACTGCCCAAAAATTATTTAAAAAACTAAATATTCTTTGTTAAAGAGAAGATTATAAGAAATGTTTTCTATGTTCTTATTTTAAAAAACAAGATTCTGGTATACATGGGGAATTTAAATACAAATTCTTACATGGTGGCTAAAATCTTGACAACTTTTAGCCTGATACAACATAAATCAACAGTTATTATGCATAAACAATTCAAAATTAAAGTTTATAATAGAAATGTCAACAAGTCATAACTACGACACATCAATACTGATGGGTTCCATATACTTCCAGCAGGCACAGCAGATGTGCACATCTGATAGACATACTGCTTAGAAAATTAAAGCTATCAGAGCTATAAATAAGGAATACATAAATATAAACATAGCAATGCCAAAGCATTAGGGCCATTAAAAAAAAAGAGCGATGCAAATACATTTGATAGTTCTCTCTGTAAGCCACTTTCCACTGATTTATAAAGCTATGGTTTTATAATTCTTTTTTTAAAAAGGAAAATTTTTCTACACTGCTGCATGCAGTAATTTCACTGTTCATTCTTGACTAAAATGGAATCTTCAAATTCTCTTGAGGAATTTGACATATCTCCTCAGGATCTCTCCAGAAAGTCAGCTTGTCATATTTTCAGCAGCCTTTAGTGCTTCAGTAATCTTGCAGAGTTCCTTAATAACAGATGATAAAGCTTCTGGGTTAATTCCTTGTTACAAAGCCATACACAAATAGACAGTGTTTCTATATCTAAGCCAGTATTCAAAATTCTTGAAATCTCAAGCAGAACGTCCATGGTTTCCCTCACTGCATTCAGATTCGCCGCTGCGGTTGCTGAAGACCTGGTGCCACTGCCACTTGCCATGGCGGAGGCTGAGGGAGGCTCCGTTTTCACTTTTGAGTATCTAAATTTTCCAGTTTTTCACTATGATAGCTAGTTCTGAAGTAAACGTAGGTTCTTTTCCCCTTGATTTTGAATTTGATAGAATTTATTTCAAGTGGAAGAATTTATTAGGTCATTGAAGTGATTTAAATGACTTGATAATAAAATGATTTACAATATATTTTATTAGTTGTAAATGATGCAATACAACAAAAATCATATGAAAGTGCTGATTCTAAAATGTTTTGTTTTTGGATTTTATTACTAACCTATTGATAATTTAAAAGATAAAAATAACACATTGTATTTATGATTTGTAGTTTTAATTTTTTAAAAATACTTTCTTTATGTTTTAGTTGTAGTTAGACACAATACCTTTATTTATCTATCTATCTACCTATCTATCTATTTATTTATTATGTGGTTCTGAGGAGCAAAGCCAGGGCCTTACATGCGGTAGGTGAGCACTCTACTGCTGAGCCACAACCCCAGGCCTATAGTTTTAAATTTTTGGATAAGCTTTGGAATTTTTCAGGTTTGCTTCTTAGAATTTCTTCTTTTTGAAATTGTCTTTTTATACCTTTGCGCATTAATCTTTTGAGGCCTTCTTTTTTGTTTTGTTTTGTTTGGTACTAGAGGCTTTACTGCTGAGCTTCATCCCTAACCCATCTAAATTTTTATTTTGAGACAGTCTAAGTTGTGGTAAGGCTGGCTTTGAACTTGAGATTTACCTGCGTTAACCTCCCCAGTAGGGATTACAGGAATGTATCACCATATCCTGCTTGAGGTCTTTTCTTTTGGACTTATTTAAGCATTAAAAATATTAATCTATTTTATTTATAGTGTATATTTTCTCAAATCTGTCATTTTTATTTTACATTAAATTTGATTTTCTTATTTTTGCCATTTCTTTTATACTTAGAAATTTCTTGCCTGTCTGAAGTCAAATATCAATCTTTTCTTTGGTTCTTTTTAAAATTTTTATGTTGATATTAATTTTTCTTTTTTAAATAATAAAAAATACTTTAAGTCATTTACTTCTAAACACAGCTGTGAATTTATGATATGGGTTTGATACTCACTTTCCATGTTTATTTTTTTTCCTAAATAATCTGGTTTTGTATTTTAGGTTTCCTTTTAAATTCATTGTTAATCTAGGTGATTTCCAGATATTTTGGAACTTTTGTTTGTACTTGTTTTGAAGTTTTGTTTTTTTACTTTTGGTTAAAGAATGTGGTCTTTAAAACTTGCTCTTATTTTAAATTATTTATAATCTTTAGACCTAATATATTATCTTCATAGAATTGTTTGAAGATTATATGAGGCATTATGAATACAAATTTGAGTGTAGTAACTGGCACACAGTCAGTGCTTACTAATTGTTAGTTTGTTACTATTTTCCACATTTGAAAGTCATCTTTTATTATACCTATAAAATGATTGCTTTTGTCCTTTTTGCTTAATTTTCTTGTTCAGAAGTAGCTGTTATTTATAGGTTGAATATCTTAATAGGTTGAATATCTATGATAAGCCACTATATAGTTTGAAGACACATTTCAAAGCGAGGCCACATTTTAGTTAAATTAAAAAATTTTATTTTTGCCATGCAGGGCATTGAACACAGGGCCTCACACATGCTAGGCAAATGCGCTGCAATTGAGCCATATCCCCAACCGAAAGGATGCTTTTTAAAGAGAATTTAAGTTATTTGGATAATTTCTTTTTAACATGCCTATCTTCTATATGGACTTATGGAAGTCTAAATGTAAATATACTTTCTAACAGTAAGAATATACTGATCATAAATTTAACACTCACTTAGAGTTAATATTCTACATTCAGTTTTCAGGAAGCCAGCTGTTTTATACAAACAGTAATTATTTCTCGCAATATATTAGTGATAACAAGGGAGACTAAAATTAGAAAAATAGCTTTTAAGTATCCTACTCAGAAAAGCAACATTATTTTCATGTGCAACAGACAGGTTTTTAATTAAAGTATTTTTGGAAGGATAATACATGTATATGGTATGAAATTCAAAGGGACAAAGAAGCACATGAGAAAAGTTTCTTACTCATTGTCTTCCTGCTATCTGGTTTCCCTCTCCAGAATCATCACTATTTTCTTGTATATGTTTTCAGAGATACTTTATGCATATACTTTATGCATATACAGTATGTGCACATATTTTAGTCATGTAGTTCTTAATTAGAATTATTCGTATTTATAATCCTAATTTATTTGTATAAAATTCTGGATATGTCTTAGAGTAATGACTAATTTATGACTTAAGAAAACATTTAAAATGAAATCTTGGCTTAAAAAATGTGTTTTTTCCTAGGAGTCTTAGAAATAGAAAAATGACTATAAAAATCCAGGTGATTAATTTTAAAACAAATATATAAATTAATTTAAATATGGGCATGGAAGCGTGCCTATTGGTATTAACACATAAAAATAGATACCAAACAAAATGAAAAAAAACCAACAAAATAGTAAATCATTAAAAAATGTCAGAAATGAAATAAAATAAAAATTGGATTATATTGTCACTCTTCTGTTTCCTTTTAGGAGTGAACTGGAGTCTGTGAAAGAAGAGCTAAAACAGAAAGGAGATGAAGTTAAATTTAAATTGGACAAGAGCGAAGAAAATGTATGTTATATTTAATAATATGTACTCATAATCTCAAATCATAAAACACCACCATTATGTCTTTAAAAAAGTGACATATACTGTTGTGTAAATAAGTTGTGATATGGGGGCTGTCTTAAGGCATTAACCTTAAAAATATAGGTATAGTATAAATGTATAGATTGTAACTGAAAAAAGTATTATGTTTAGTAATGAATGCTCAATATTTAACATTGATTTACATTTTTAGGCTAAATAAAAGCCTCATGCTGTGGAATAAACTAAGAAGTTCGTGTTATATTTTGGTGAATACAATTTCAACAAGATTTTTTTAAAAAGGGGGACTGGGAATGTGGCAAATGGTAGTGTTTGTCTAGCATATGTGAGGTACTGGATTCAATTCCAGTACTTAAAAAAAAAACGGTTTTTAGGGAATATTATCACAAATTGGAATTGTACAAAATATGTGACATGATTATACAGTGTAATATATACTATACAGTGGGACAAAATTATACCAAAATAGAAAGATCATGCTAGATTATGAAGGCTTTATGTTTTTATTTACTGACAAATTTTATCTACACATATTATTATATATGCTTAGCATTTTTCTGGGTGCTGAGCTGTGTTCAGATATCATTTGCTTTGGTTAGGACAGTTGTGTTTGAATAAAGTCTTTTTTGGGGGGAGAGAATGGAGTAGGGAGAGATGAAAAGCACTAGAATCAGTTGGAAAGCTATTAAAGTTGTCTTGAAAGCTCTGAAAACATTTTTGGGGAAGATTCTGGCCTAGTTCAATTTACTTATTCCTAAGCCAATCATTGTGTCTAGGGGATAGAGTAATGGTTGAAGACTTGAGCTACATACCTGTTCCTGAAGACAAGAGTCAATCCTCATCAAACTATATGAACTGAGCAGAATTACTGTGGAATTTACAGTAAAGAAGTCCTTGCAGGAATGGGTGCTGGCCAGATTGAAACATAGGTCCTAGGTATGGATCCTATTAGAACTTATAGAAAGGATATCTAATCCAACTTTAAATCAGGGCAAGCTTCTTGGAGGAAGTGACATTCAGTTCACTTAGACTAATAGGAATTAATGGGAGGTAGAGGGATGGATACAAGTATAACAGGAGAATAACAATATTCCAAGTTAAACACACACACATATTATATGGGAACGCCTAAAAGTATGACAGAGGATGGCATATTTAGGCAATGATAAAAAATTAATTGTGGTTGGGCATGGTGGCTCAAGCCTTTATTCCCAGTTACTCAGAATCTGAAGCAGGACGATTGCAACTTTAAGGCCAGCCATGGAAGTTTAGTGAGACCCTGTATCAAAATAAGATTTTTTTAAAAAGGGGGCTGGGAATGTGGCAAATGGTAGTGTTTGTCTAGTATATGTGAGGTACTGGATTAAATTCCCAGTACTTAAAAAAAAAAAAATTACTGTCGCTAAAAAGTGGAGTTTAAGATAGTTGTAATAGTGGAGAGAGTAGGGAGAGATGAGGATAGATAGAGATGAGGGTGAAAGATGAAGGTGGATCATTTAAGGAAACATAAGTTATATTTAGGAGTTTGATGTTATTGAAAAGTTTTGTTTTGAGTATTGTTTTAATTATATTAATACTTTAGAAAACTTAAGACTATAGAAATAGTTCAAGGGCTTACAAATAGGAGTTAGTGGAAAGTAGAGGGTTTATAATGGACCAGGCACATTCTAGGTCCTTTCTGTGTGTTATTTTGCTTAACCAGAATTCATTTTTTTCTTATTTTATAATTTAGGAAATCAGATCTCTTAAGAGTAAATAACTTTGAAAGGTTACATGACTAACAAGTAGTAGAGCTGGTCTTCTACAATCTGAAGACTATACTATGCTCCCCTTCCTCTCCAAAATCCAATGTTTTCTTTTAACTTTATTAGTTATTCTGAATTCAACCTGCAAATGAGTTTAATGCACTAAATACTTGGTTATGTAATTTAGTACTTAAAAATTTGTATCAGAGGCTACTACAAACAGGCCGATGTTGTATGTGATAGGGAAACATGAATTTGATATTTAATTTACAAAGTCCTTCATTATGAATTTAAAGTATAGTCTATTTTTGCCAATGTAGAAAATCTTAGTGATGAGTTAAGGAAAAAAACCCAAAATGTATGTCAAATTATTAGCATATTTCTGCTTTCCATGATTGGATTTCAACTAATTTATTGAAATAGTTTCCAGAAAGAATTCAAATTATAAATACTTTTTAATTTGATTGCCTTACATTTAATTTCATTATATTTGTTTCCCCCGAACTACTACCTTAGTTTAGATATTTATTATTTCATAATATTCTACTTATATGAGTTTCAGTTTCCTCAACTTTAAATTATTATCTAAGAGATAATAATATCTGTTGTGAAAGATATTTGAGTCATTATAAACATTTATATATAATAGTTTTTAAAAGATTCAGGATAAACTGGGAAAGCTAATAAAAATGTTGCAAAATGATTTTGAGCTAAGAATGATAAACATTGACATATAAACAATAAGATGATTTCTATTTTTAATTGACAGATAAAAAGTACATGTATTTATGGTATGGTTTACAAAGTAATATTTTGATATGTGTGTACATTGTGAGATAATTGAATCAAGCTAGTCATTATATCTTTACGTGTACAAAGATGAATTTCTTTTTCAAAAGGATTCCAAAATAAACTGGGAGAGCTGATAACCACTTTTATAAACATAAAGGACTAAGCTTTAGAATTTCATTTCTAAAAGATACAGAAGAAAATAGAAATTCTGTTAACATTTTTAATCTAATGTCAATATTTTCTAGGCTCGAAGCATCGAATGTGAAATTTTAAAAAAAGATAAACAAATGAAGATATTAGAAAACAAGGTATTTTCAAATTGCAAAATGTTTGAGAATGAAAACTTTGTAGCAGTATAAGTATTACTGCATTCTTGTGGGCCAGCCTTTATACATTCTGCACAAAGAAATCTCAGTTCTCCTTTGGAGGCTTTGGAGAATGTGGGATTTTTTTCTTATTGCAGGTTTCTTTAAGAGACCCTGGATTTATGGGTTTTGTGTAGTGCTTCAAAGAGCAAAGTTTTATTAAAAACCTCTTTAGTTTTCTCTTCCCTTCCCCCAAATTTCATACTCTAAGCAACTTACATTTATTGTCGACACTTAAAATGGCAAAATGATTTTAGAAATCATCTTTCTCCCATTTCTAAAATTTAGAGTTACAGAAAAATCTTTATTCTTGTTTATGTGAAGTGTTTTTACTTGTCTGGCTATTCATCTTAATTTACTTCTCCCCTGTCTGAACCTCATGACACAGTTGTCCTAAACATTTTCCATATAATTTTCCATATAATGCACAGTCCTCTGGAAAGTGTAGTTCACTTTCTGAAGTTCTGACTTCTAATTAATAATAAACAGCATTTTCTTCTACCTGAAGATTCTGGTAAATAAAATACTTAGTTTCTATGCACAATTTACTTAAGCATAAACTGGGGTAATTTAAAACCTTTTCAAGAATTTCTGGGCATTGTATCAAATATATTTTAAATATTTTTGAACATTTGAAAAGAAAGAAATGGTTTAATAAAAAGCCATGTAATTTTAATTGGCTCCAATTTTGAAGATAATTTAAATTTGAAAGTAGTGTAAGTAGTGTAAATAAATTTGGTTTTCATTAGCTTATACAGACAGAAGGAATAGTGTTGGGTTGGTTTAGGATGGGACAGTCAAGATATCCAAAGTTAACAGCTCTTGTCTCCAAGAGACTCATCTCATAGGCAAAGACATCGACAAACTGAAGGTAAAAGGATGGGGAAAAAAACTTATCATTCACATGGATTTCATAAACAATCAGGGGTTTCTATCATCACATCAGATAAAGTGGATGTGAAGTCAAAATTAATAAAAAGGGAAAAAGAAGGTTATTTCAGACTGCTTAAGGGAACTGTACATCAACAAGATATAACAATCTTAAATATACCCTAAACAATGGAACATTTATACATATCAAACAAACCCTTCACAATTTCAAGAATCAAATAGATCACAACACAATAATACTGGGTGACTTTAACAGGCTTCTCTCACCAATTAGTAATTACAATTAATAATTTAGACTTTACAGACATATATAGAATATTTCATCCATCAGTGACTGAATGTACTTTCTTCTCAGTAGCACATGTGTCCTTCTCTAAAATGGACCTTATCTTAGGCCACAAAGAAACTCTTAGTAAATACAAAAAAATAATACCTTGTACTTTATCAGATCATAAGAAATGAAATTAGAAATCAATGATAAAATAGAAACTAGAAGCTACTCTAACATCTGGAGACTAAATAATACTCTATTGAATGGTCAGTGATAGCTGAAGAAGTCAGGGATGAAATAAAAAATATTAGTGGTAAATGAGTTCAGTGACAAAACATCAAAATTTTGGGGACACATGAAGGTGGTTCTAAGAAGAGAAAGTTTGTTGCATTGAGCTCATTTGTTAAAAGAACAGAAAGTCACTGAATAAACAACCTAATGGTATATCTCAAAGCCCTAGAAAAAGAAGAACAAATCAACACAGAAAGCAGAAGACAGGAATAATTAAAATTAGACCTGAAATGAATGAGATTGAAACAAAAAAATTTCAGAATATCAGAAACCAAAAAAGTTGATTCTTTGAGAAAAATATAAATTCATAAACCATTAGTCAAGCTAACTAAGAGAAAGAAAACTCAAATTACTAAAATTTGTGATGAAAAAGGACTTATCACTATGGACACTACTAAAATACAGATGATAATTAAAAACTACTTTGAAAATCTATAGAAAATCATGAATACATTGAGAAATTTTTAGAGACATATGACCTACCCAAATTGAATCAGAAGGACATAGAAAATTTAAACATAACAAAAGTAGTGAAATAGAAAACACCATCAGAAACCTACCAACAAAGAGAAGCCTGGGACCAGATGGCTTCTCTACCGTACCTTTAAAGAAGAATTTAACATCACTTCCTCAAATTATTCCGTGAAATAGAATAAGAAGAACCCTTCCAAACTCATTCTATAAAGGTAGTATCACCCTGATATCAAAACCAAAGACACATCAAGGAAAGAAAACTTCAAACTAATATACCTGATGAACATAGATGCAAAAATTCTTAATATAATACTGGCAAATCACATAAAAATGTACTAAAAAGATAGTGCACTATGATCAAGTGGGATTTATTCCAGAGAGACAAGGCTCGTTCAACATACAAAAATCAATAAACATAATTCATTACATCAATAGTCTTAAACATAAGAATCACATGATTATCTCAATAGATGCAGAAAAAGCATTTGACAAAATTCAGCATCCATTCATACTCAAAACTGGTATAAAACTAAAAAGCTTCTTCACAGCAAAGAAAATGATCAATAATGTGAAGAGAGAGCCTATAGAATGGGAGAAAATCTTTGCCACTTGTACTTCAGAGCATTAATCTCCAAGAAATATAAAGAACTTGAAAAACTCCAGATAACCTAATAAATAAATGGGCAAAAGAACTGGACAGACACTTCACCTAAGAAGAAATATGAATGGCCAACAATATGAAAAAATGTTCAACATCTCTAGCAATTAGAGCAATGCAAATTAAAACTACACTGATATTTCATCTTATCCAGTTAGAATGGCAATTATCAAGACTACAGGTAACAAATATTGGCAAGGATGTGGGGGAAAAAGGTACACTTATACATTGTTATGGGACTGCAAATTGGTACAACTCTGGAAAGCAGTATGGAGACTCCTTAGAAACTTGGAATGGAACCACCATATGACCCAGTTATTCCACTGCTTGGTATTTACTCAAAGGATTTAAAATTAGCGTATTACAGTGATACAGCCATATCAATGTTTAGAGCAGCTCAATTTACAATCGCTAAGCTATGGAACCAAACTAGGTGCCCTTCAACAGATAAATGGATAAAGAAAATATAGTATATACACAATGTATATATACACAATGGAAAATGTATATATACGCAATGGAATATTAGTCATAAAGAAGAGTGAAATTATGGCATTTGATGGTAAATGAAAAGATTTGGAGGCTATTATGCTAAATGAAATAAGCCAATCCCCCCAAAAAGGCCGTATGTTCTCTCTGATATGTAAATGCTAATACTCAATAAGGTGGGGAGAGAAGAATAAAAATTCATTGGATTAGACAAAGAGGAACAAAGGGAAGGGAGAGGGATGGGACTAGGAAAGAGTAGAATGATGACATAATTTTCCTATGTTCATATATGAATTCATGACCAATGTAACTCCACGTCATGTAAAACTGCAAGAATGGAAAGTTATACTCCATGTATGTATAATATGTCAAAATACACTCATCTGTCATGTCCATCTAAAAAGAAAAGAAAAAAAAAAGAAAAATTAAAACAGAAGATATGTATTGGTGGTTGGGAGTTGTAAATTATCTTTTTTTTCAATTATAAATAAAAGGTCTATGAGCCCTGAAGCTCGTCTTACCATAGTTCCTCTATTTTGAAATATGTGATTGCTGTAATTATTAATTTACTAAACATTGTCACTAAAAATTCAGTAAGGTTTAGTATTGCCTAAAAAAACCCCAGAGTTAATAGCTCTGATATCATCTTTTTAGTATAAACATGTACATTTTTAAAATATATCGTTATATCAGTTATAAAGATGGTTTTTAGGAAAAGTTGGCAAGAGAAAAGTATAGTCATTAACTCTCAAGGGAATAGTTTTTTTTAAATGTCATGTCAATTTTTATTGATCAATCTTTAAATTCTAAAATTATGCAGCTGAAACTAAAATCAAAGGAATTCATGGAGCTTTTATTTAGCATTGATAGTTGATATTTTAAGACATACAAAATTGGTAGAAATACATCTTATTGAGTAACAAATAAGGGAATAGGTTTTGATGGTCTAAAGAATAGAGGACTAAGAAATACATAACATACTATCTCTGGCAAAGTAATAAATATCTTCACGATGCTTCAAACTGATGTTCTTTAAATTTGTTCAACATTTATCTGGTGAGACCAAATAAATTGTATTACTAGAAGTTCTTTTTCTTTTTCTTTCTTTTTCTTTATTTTTTAGTTGTAGTTGGACACAATACCTTTATTTCACGTATTTATTTTTATGTGGTGCTGAGGCTCAAACCCAGGGTCTCGCACGTGCGTGGCAAGTGCTCTACTGCTGAGCCACAACCCCAGCCCCTAGAAGTTCTTTTTCAATTAAAGTTTGAATAGTTCTTTTTCAAATCTGCTCAATCATCTTCTAAGGCTTCCAATTTCTTATTTATAGTTTCAAGTCTTTAATTTCTCTATATTTTATATTCTGTATATGGCAATTCTAATATCTGAAGTCTTTTTAGGTCTGATTCTGATCTTTGTTCTTTCTTCTGGTTTTTACTCATTAAACTTTAGCTTTTGGGTTTTTATGATTCCTTGGGCTTTTGTTTAAGAGAATTCCTTTAAACTTGGGTTGAAGTTAATAATCCTCCCAAAAAAATTTTCTTGAAAGCATTACTAACCAGGAGCTATTTCAATTCTCCATCTTTAGTTTTTATGGACCATATAGTTGGCATATAAAACCATATGAGCCTACCTTATGGTTATAAATTTTCAGCAAAGGCTTCTATTCAAAGACAAGATAAAGACAAATGAGTTTTCCTTACTGTCCACTTTTTTTTTTAAAGAGAGAGTGAGAGAGGAGAGAGAGAGATAGAGAGAATTTTTAATATTTTTTTATTATTTTTTAGTTCTCGGCGGACTCAACATCTTTGTTGGTATGTGGTGCTGAGGATCGAACCCGGGCCGCACGCATGCCAGGCGAGCGCGCTACCGCTTGAGCCACATCCCCAGCCCCTTACTGTCCACTTTTATATGGCAGTTTTATTTCTTGTTTATCTTCTCATTGAATGTGTAGTTCTTTGAATTCCTAGCTTAATGCAGTACTGTCTTATTGGATTTCCTACCAGTAGTGAGCCTTATGTTTGTCTTATGCCTTTACTTGGGTGGGTTCAACAGATATCCTTAGAACAAATGTTAAATTGGTGTTAACCTGAAACGTACTCGTATAAATTTACAGTCATTTAAAATATCCAGATTCCTACTTTTTGTCTTTTATTTTAGAATTATTCTTAGAAGGATGTAAGTGGCTTTTCTGTTACAAATGGAAATACTTTTAATTTTTAATAAATAAAATTATATGAATTTGATATATAATTATAAAATTATAAAAAGTTTTATATTTGTATAAATATCCCAATAAAACTAATATGAAAATTAGTGAAACATTTCTCACTTATTTAGCTTTTCTTTCTTATTTTTCCTTTGAGTTTTCTGAAAGAGAACTTCTATAAGTGGTCTTGGGACATGTAAAAATTTAGATAAAATAAATCACTTGTAGATAAAAACAATAGTGTCATTTATTATTTAGTCTTAGAATATTAGCTGAATATGAATACAGAGGAGTGTTGTAAGAAAAATATTTAACAAAGTACTTTGTGTTAATGAAAGTGATTATAAAATTTGTTGAGATTTGTTTTACTTTGATGGAAATTACAACAGCTTACATATCTGTGATGCTTTGGGGCCTCTTAGAACTGCGTACTGTGCTGCTTGTCTGCTTTTTTTTTTTTTTTTTGAGTTGAAGTCTAATTGTGCTGTCCAGGCTGATCTAGAACTCTTGAGCTCAAGTGATTTTCCTATCTTAGACTCCTGAATGCTGGGATTACAGGTGTGCGCCATCAATCCTGGCTCTGTGACTCTGTGATGCTTTTGTGGTATTCCAAATATTTCTTGAGCTAATATCTTGTAATTCAGTTCTGCCTGCATCCCCATATTAAATAATCCTACAAACTGAAATATCAAAATTGGTTTATTTGGAATTTTAATGAGAGGAATTATAATTTAGTTAGGAGAAGATAGAATATCACAGTATTCTTCTCTCCCAAATATAAGTTTAAGGATCTCAGAAATGAGAAAGGTAAAATAATAAGGAAGAAAACAAATTATAATTATTTTTATTTCTGAATGTAGCTTTTCACAACTTATTTAATAATATGATTCCAACCTTTTGTATATGGTGATTAAGAGGCACATATTACTTAAAGTAGTTGAATTCAGATACTTTTTAAGGAGATTAAGAAATGTTAATCAATCAATAAGTACATGAAAAAATGCTCACCATCTCTAGCAGTCAGAGAAATGCAAATCAAAATTGCCCTAAGATACCATCTCACTCCAGTAAGATTGGCAGCCATTATGAAGTCAGATAACAATAAGTGCTGGCGAGGATGTGGGGAAAAGGGTACACTTGTACATTGTTGGTGGGGCTGCAAATTGGTGCGGCCAATTTGGAAAGCAGTATGGAGATTCCTTGGAAAGCTGGGAATGGAACCACCATTTGACCCAGCTATTCCTTTTCTTGGACTATTCCCTAAAGACCTTAAAAGAGCTTACTATAGGGATACTGCTACAACGATGTTCATAGCAGCACAATTCACAATAGCTAGACTGTGGAACCAACCTGGATGCCCTTCAATAGATGAATGGATAAAAAAAATGTGGCATTTGTACACAATGGAATATTACTCTGCACTAAAAAATGACAAAATCATGGCATTTGCAAGGAAATGGATGGCACTAGAGCAGATTATGCTAAGTGAAGCTAGCCAATCCCTTAAAAACAAATGCCAAATGTCATCTTTGATATAAGGAGAGCACTAAGAATAGGCGGGAAGAGCATGAGAAGAAGATCACCATTAAACAGGGATGAGATGGAGAGGGAAAGAGAGAGAGAAGGGAAATTGCATGGTAAAGGAAGGAGACCCTCATTGTTATACAAAATTACATATAAGAGGAAGTGAGGGGAAAGGGAAAAAAAACGAGAGAGAGAAATGAATTACATTAGATGGGGTAGAGAGAGAAGATGGGAGGGGAGGGGAGGGGAGGGGGGTTGTAGATGATAGGAAAGCAGCAGAATACAACAGACACTAGTATGGCAGTATGTAAAAAGTAGATATGTAACCGATGTGAATCTGCAATATGTATATGGGGTAAAAATGGGAGTTCATTATCTGCTTGAATCAAATGTATGAAATATGATATATCAAGAGCTTTGTAATGTTTTGAACAACTAATAATAAAAAAAAGAAAAAGGAAAAAAAAGTTAAAATTTTCAAATTTATATTGAGGTGTTATTTATTAAAATGTATAATTTTTATGTAATTTTTACATTTATGGAATTATTTAACAGCATGAATTTTTAAGTGAGTTTCATATTACGTGAATGTAATATTTTTATTAATCTGAAAGGTTTATTTTGACTGGAATATTAAGTACAATGAGTAAATAATGAATTTCTCATAATTCTGCAGTGTAATAATTTAAGGAAACAAGTTGAAAATAAAGGCAAGCACATTGAAGAGCTTCAGCAGGAGGTGGGTACTATTTATAAATATTCTCAAAGTCAAACCAACATTTTCACTATAGTTTTAGAGAGTGATACTTTCATTTCCATTAGTAAACTTAAGTCAGTGGCAGTATAAGTTTGAGTCACTTTAGTACTAAATACAATTTTTTGTTTTTAATTTTTAACAGAATAAGGCCTTGAAAAAAAAGGGTACAGCAGAAAGCAAACAACTGAATGCTTATGAAATAAAGGTATTTGACATTTTAATTTTTTAAAACCCTAATAAATACATGAGAATTTAGAAATGTTATGTCATTTATTTATGCTGTAACAGTTACTTTCAAAGTTTTTCATCTTTCTGGATTGAAATCAATTCTTATAATTGTAATAGAATGATCACTTAAGTTTTGATTGAGTTAGAATTATCAGAACAACTTAAAAATATATGTGGGTATTCTCTATGTGTGTATGTGTTCATCATCCTTACCCATATATTTAGAAGTGAATAAGCTGGGGGAGGAGCCAGCTTATTACAATATGATGGGATTTGTTGTTACATATCCTGTGGTCTAAGAGATTAGAGAGACATCAACTTTGTAGAAAACAAACTAAAGCCCTAGTAAGCATACGATGTCAGGGTCACATTTGGTTTATTTATTCCTAAGTCTTTAAATAATGGTTGATGTTTAGTAAGTATTAAATACATAGCTTGTTTATTTTTATGTTTTGTAGTACAAGGTTTTGAACCCAGGGCCTTGCACATATTAGTCAAATGCTCTACCACTGAACTGTATACCCAGTCCTCTTTTCATTTTATTATGAGACAAGTTCTCACTAAATTGCTCAGGCTGTCCTCAAGTTTGATGTTCTCTTGCCTCATCCTCCATACTATCTGGAGTTATAGGCATGTGCTGCCACCATGCCTGGCAATAGATTTTGAATCTTGAGTGGAAAATAGTGGGTTCTCAGTGTACTAAATGTGTGCTTTTTGGAAGGTAATAAAATTTTTACATATTTTTAAAATATGTAAATGTGATTAAAAATTAAAACAAATCTCATAAACTATTGACATTATATAGAAAAGTAGCTGATACATAATTTTGCACATGTACTTCTGGGTAGAGTCAGGAGAAATGTAACAGCATTATTTGTAGTAGCTCCAAACTGAAAATAAAAGATATTCATCAATAGTATAAAGATCAGACAATAAAAAATGACCCCTGGATAATTGAAATGTTGGAATTTTAACAGATAAAATCTATATGCAGCTATTATAAACATGTTTAAAGACAGAAATGGTTATAATGAAATACTAAAATAGAGAATCTCAGTAAATAAACAAGCTATAAAGGGAATTTAGGATTAAAATTATCTAGAACTAAAAGTAAAATATTATAAAAACAAACAAAACAATTTCGTATGGTCCTAATAATATATTTAGACAAATAAAGTGTTAGTACAATTGAAGCTGGATAAACAGAAATCATCCAATTAGAGGAACATGGAAACAGAGTGAAAAACAAAAAGGGGAATAGTGTCTTAGTGGTCTTGTAGAATATTATCAGGTTTTAAACAGTAATTAGAGTATCTGAGAAAGAGGAGAGAAAGAATAGGGCAAAAGAAAATCAACTAAGGAATTTCTCAAAAATTTCTAGCTTTTAATAAAAACCATTAACTTGAAGATCCATGGCACTCGACAAATTCAAAGAAAGATAAATAGAAAATCATACCTAGGTACTTAGTTGAAATACCAAAACCAAAGAGAAATGCAAACTTTTAAAATTAGATAGAAAAATGTCACACTGTAGATCAGTGACACAAATTAGACTAATGTTGTATCATAACAATGAAAGCTAGATGTCAGAGGAATGACATTTTTGAAATGCTGAAAGAAAGATACCACGAACTGAGAATTCTGTATGCAAGTAAAAATATCTGTTAAGTTGAAATGACCTCAAAATTTGCACTGTAAAGAATACTAAAGGAACTTCTTCAGACTGCAGAAAAATGACATCAACTAGAAACTTGGATCAATAAAAGGAATGAAAATCACTAGAAATGGTAAATATGTATGTGAATATTAAAGGCTATATATTTTTCTTCTTAATTTTTAGAAATACATATGCACACACACAAACATGTATATACACACATATATCTGCTTTAAATGTTTTCAAAAAGTTTGAAATTGTAAGAAAATTTGCTATTATAGAGTTTAGATGTGTAACAACCATAGCACAAGGGATAGGGAAGTAAAATAGCCACTTTGTTTCAACAGTTTTGCATTATATACGCAATATTATACAATATTCTTTTATCCCCACATTTTTATTGGTGCATTATAGTTGTACATAATGATGGGATTTGATGTTACATATTTGTACATGTACATGATATAAAAATATAATTTGGCCACTATCATGCTCAGGCACTCCCCCTCCACATTCTTTTGTTCCTTTTCCTCTAATGATTTCCCTTTGATTTTCATGTGATCTTACCCCACCTTTCTCTTTCCTCTCCAACTTCTGCATATGAGTTTGACTTATCTTGCATAACATAATAGTTTTTAGTTCTATCCATTTTCCTGCAAATGACATAATTTCATTTTTCTTTATGACTGACTAAAAAAACCCTTCATTTTATATATATCACACATTTTCTTTACCCTTTTAAACATTGATGTGCACCTAGTGTGATTGCATAGTTTGGTGTGAATAGTGCTGCTATAAACATGGATATGCATGTATCACTTTAGTATGATGACTAATATTATTTATATTCTTGATGATTGCCATTCTAACTTGTGTGAGAGATGAAATCTAAATGTAGTTTTGATTTGCATTTCCCTAATTACTAATGATGTTTAACATTTTTTTCATGTATTTGTTGGCCATTTGTATTTCTTCTTCTTTTTTATTATTTATTTTTTAGTTGTTGGACACAATATTTAATTTATTTATTTTTATATGGTGCTGCTGAGGATCAAACCCAGGGCCTTGCATGTGCTAGGCAAGCAATCTACTGCTGAGCCACAACCCCAGCTCTGTATTTCCTCTTTTGAGAAATGTCTGTTTAATTCACTTGGCCACTTATTAATTGGGTTATTTGACTTTTTTGGTGCAAATTTTTTTTTAGTTCTTTATATATTCTAGATATTAATTATTTTTCAGAAGAATAGCTAGCAGAGATTTTCTCTCATTCTGTGGGTTTTTTCTTCACATTTATAATTATTTCCCTTGATTGCAGAAGCTTTTTAATTTGATTCCACCATTTGTTGACCCTGTGTTTTCTTTTAGGGGTTGCATAGTTTCTGGCTTTATTTCTAGGTTTGTGATCTATTTTGAGTTGAAGGGTCTAGTTTCATTCTTCTACATATGGATAACCAGTTTTGCCAGCACTATTTGTTAAAAAGGCTGTATGTTTTTCTAATGTATGTTTTTGGCACCTTTATCCAGGAGTCAGACAACTGTAGATGTGTGGGTTTGTCTCCGTGTCTTATTTTGTACCATTGGTTTATGTATCTGTTTTTATGCCATTGTCATGTAGTTTGTGTTACTGTAGCTCTGTAGTGTAATTTGAAATCAGGTATTATGATGCGTCCAGCATTGCTTTTTTGGTTTAGAATTGCTTTGCCTATTCTGGGTCTTTTATTCTTCCAAATTAATTTTAGGACTGTTTTTTCTAGTTCTGTGAAGAATGTCATTAGTATTTTGATGGGAATTGCAGTGAATGTATATATTGCTGTGTCTTCTTAAATTTCTTTCTTCAGTGTTCTCTAGTTTTTATTGTATAGGTCTTTCACCTTCCTGGTTAGATTTATTCCTAGGTATTTTGGTTTTAGTTTGAGATAATTGTGGATAGAATTGTTTTTCTGATTTCTTTCTCAGCAGATTGGTATATAGGAAAAATATTGATTTTTTTATGCTATTTTCATAACCTGCTACTTTGCCAACTTTGTTTATTAGCTCCAGGAGTCTTTTGATGGAGGATTTTTTTTTTTGATCTTCTAGGTACAGGATCATGTCTTCTGCAAACAGTGATAATCTGACTTGTTTTCCTATATTTATTCCTTTTATATCCTTCCCCAGCCTAATTTCTCTAGCTTGAATTTTGAGCACTATATTAAGTAGGAGTGGTGAGAGTGGACATCCCAGTCTTTAAAGAAATGCTTTCAGTTTTTCCCATGTGAGTTTGGGTTTGGGGTTTTCATATATAACCTTTATGATGTTGAGGTTGGTTCCTTCTGTCCCTGGTTTCTTTAGTTTTTTTCTCATGAGTGGGTGCTGAATTTTGTCAAAGGCCTTCTCTACATCCATGAGATGACTAAGTGATTTTTTTCCTTAATTCTATTTATATGATAAATTACACTTATTAATTTGTGTATATTAAACTATTCTTTTATCTTTTAAATAAAATCAAATTGCTCATTAAGTTTTCTTAATATGTTGTTTAACATGGTTTGGTAATATCAAGTATTTTTACACCTAAGTTCAAATGGATATTGGTTTGTAGTTTTCTTTCCTTGTTGTATCCTTTTCTGGTTTTCTCTGAGTGATACTAGTTTCACAGAATGAATTTGTGATTCATCCCTTTCTATTTTTTGGAATAATTTGAGGAGTATTGGCATTAATTCTTTTTTAAAGGTTTGGTAGAATTCTTTGTTGGAAGGCTTTTAAAAAATATTCTTTTTTTTTTGTAGATGGTTACAATACCATTTATTTGTATATTTATTTATTTTTGTGGTGCTGAGCATTGAACCCAGTGCCTCACACTTGCTAGGTAAGCGCTCTACCACTGAGCTATAACTCCAGCCCCTGGAAGGCTTTTTATTACTGCTTCTATTAAATTGCAAGTTACTGGTCTGTTTTCTATGTCTGTCAAGTTTTCTATGTCCTCTTGATTGAGTTTTAGCAGATCTTATTTGTCTAGAAATGTATCCGTCTCTTCTAGGTTTTTTTAGTTTATTAGAGTATAAGTTTCCAAAATAGTCCCTAATGATTTGCTAGATTTCTTTGATGTCTGTGGTATTTTCTTTTTATCTCCAATTTTATTTGTTTTGGTTTTCTGTCTTTTTCTTTTGACTAAGGGCTTACCATTTTTAAAAAAATCTTTTCAAAGAAACAACTCTTCGTTTTTTTTGATCGTTTGTATTGTTTTTTTTTTCAGTTTCAATTTTGTTGATTTTTGGCTCTGTTGTTAATTATTTCCTTCCTTCTACTGATTTTAGAATTGGTTTGTTCTTCTTTTTCAA